CCAAAAAAAGTGAAATTGAAAAACAAGTGAATACAATGTTTGATTCAGGTCTAATTCGGCCAAGCATCAGTCCATTCTCCTCACCGGTGCTATTAGTACGCAAAAAAAAAATGGAACTTGGAGGTTTTGTACCGACTATCGGGCCCTCAATTCAATTACCATCAAAGACATGTTTCCCATCCCTACGGTTGATGACATGCTGGATGAACTCCATGGAGCTGCTTTCTTTACTAAACTCGATCTCACCGCAGGTTACCACCAAGTAAGGGTATATCCATCGAATATTCACAAGACGACCTTCCGCACTCATAAAGGCCATTATGAATATCTCGTCATGCCATTTGGGCTTGGCAATGCCCCTTCCACCTTTTAAGCAATCATGAACAACATCTTCCACCAGCACCTCTGTAAGTTTGTTCTATTTTTTTTTTATGACATATTGATATACAGTCCCAGCTAGGAATTGCATCTTGAGCAGGTTAAGCATGTTTTTAACATCCTCCTGCAACATCCATTTTTCATCAAGTTAAAAAAATATGTCTTTGAGCAAAAGGAACTTGAATACTTGGGGCACATAGTCACATCGCAATGGGTCAAAATGGATTAAACCAAAATTAAGGCCATATTAGATTAGCCTCGACCAAACAACATCACTGAGTTGAGAGGATTTTTGGGTTTGATAGGCTATTATTTGAAGTTCGTTCGGCAGTACAGAATTCTTGCTTGGCCCTTGACTAATCTCCTGAAAAAGGGACTATTTGGGTGGTCCGAGGAAGCAGAATCAACTTTCCAAAACCTCAAGGTTGCTATGACCATAACTCCTACCTTGGCACTCCTAAATTTTGAAGAGCCATTTACTATAGAAACTAATGCTTCCAGCTGCATCATTGGGGCAGTCCTCACTCAGCATGGGCAACCTATAGCTTACATGAGCTGGGCATTAGCCGTTGCCAAACAGTCATGGTCGACATACACCAAAGAGATGTTTGCCATTGTTATTGCCATAAAATTATGGAGTCCATATTTGATGGACAGATAGTTCTATGTGCATACTGATCAAAAACATTTGATGCATTTGCTGGACCACAAATTACATCCCATACAACAAAAATGGCTCTCT